AGTAAATCAAACACACACTGAATGAGGTACAGCTCTTACTCTTCTCCAGCATGTCAGCGAGATCATTTTGCTCCATGGTCCTCAGGATGTACTGTGTGATCTTCAGAGCTCCCTCTCTACCACAGGTCTTCTGCATCTGACCATCACTGTCCAGGTCATTGTCCTCCTCCAGCTGAGGCTCAGAGCATTCTGGGTCATTCTGATCCAGGTACCTTTTCAACTTCATCAGCTCATCGTTCAGAAACATTTGAGCTTTTTCCTCCAGTAACTGAAATGAACAGTTACAGTTTAATTATTATCACTCTTGGCACCATATATTTTTTAAAATTTTACTTGTGAATTAGTTGTAAATATCATCACTTTGACAGGTTCAGTCACTTGATAATATATCTGTAGATGATGTATGTCAATTTAGATAAAACCAAAGAAAATATACTTCAATAATAAATGCAGACCTTGAAGATGGATGATAAGTCTGCTTTATGTGGAGGGAAATTAAATCTTTTCACTTGATCCCTGTGAATAAAACACAAATATTTGTCCATTAATCCATCCATCCTCCACCCACTTATCCCTGTTTGGGGGTGGGGCAAGGTGGGGGGGTCTATTTCAGACAGTAGAAGGCCTAGGATACAGGTTCCCCCTGGGGGGGATTCTAGTCCATCACAGGGCACAGACACACAGAGGCTGTCATATGTCATGGGGAATTTAGAAAGTAGCCTAAACACGTGTTTTTGGACGGCAGGAGGAAACCCATGTGATAGAGGGAGAGCGTGCAGCTGCAAACAGACAGGGGGCTCAGCCTTTTTTTTCTAAACAAAAAAAAACACAGATCAAATGTTCATGCCAAACCATTTATACAACAAATTGGTTAAAATATAATGTATAACAACATACAAATATACAATTTTTTGCAATCGATACACTGGCATAATATCCCCCTCCCCCTGATTGGAGAATTTTACTGGCAGCCTTCCTGTTTATCTTTCTGTTCCTTGGTAAGACCCCACCTAGAATATTGTGTGCAGGTGTGATAGGTGGGAGAGGTTCTCGGCAGTGTTGGGGTGGAAGGATACCGGGCTACACCCTGGTGACACGGCATGATATAGCGGTGGGCAGTCACGGGGTTCGTCGTTTCCGGTTCCCTCCTTTAAAGGACGGTATGTAGTGCGGAAGGTGTTGGTGCTTGGGGTAAGGTTGGCGGCGGAACAGTGGCTGAAAGCTAGAAAAAGGTACCTTGGAGCAAGCGCTGTTGGTTGGGACGGGCGAGGCTTTGGTATAGGCTACAAGCTGCCACTAGAACTCCGGTTGGCTGGGTAAGGTGGGTAAGGTATGTTTGGGTATTTTTAAATGGTTTTGTAAAAGTGGGATCGATTTGAAACTGATGTGTGCGTGTGTTTCTTTTTTTGTCTTTTGAAGGTGGTTTAGGTAACTGCTGTTTCTCCCCCAAATGAAGGGCGTTGTGATATCGTGGGTCCTGTTTGTTGTTCAGTCGGGGGAAGGGTATTACCTTGTTAACCTACCTTCTCATATGTTGATTGATTTAGTATTGGGCTTTTATGTGTATTTTTAGTTTTGGTCTTTTTCTTTGAGTGGGGATTTCAATGCCAGGATTGACTCCCGGGGGCGTGCTGTGTTGTGGGGGTGCAGTGCTTTTGCCTTTGGGAATTGTTTGTAGCGCTTCGGGTTTTTTTTTGTGTGGTTGTTTCTGGGGGGGGAAGGGCTATTCCTGGTTGCTGGATTTCCTCACCTTGGTTTGAATGGTTTGCTAATTGCATGGGGATGGATGGGTTGCTTTTTGTCTTTTTCCTGTTTTTGGGTTTGATTTTATTGTGTGAGTCGTATTGTATTATGAGCAGTGTATTTTCGTGTAAAGTTTTCGCTTCATTTCATTAAAAGGATTATGGTTTGTATACAGTCTCCACTCTGTTGTTCATTTAATGAACTTTGGGGCCTGTGATGTATGTATAGCGCCCCTCCCTTCTGTGGTTGGGGTTACACAGGTTTGGTTACCATACATCAAAAAGGACATTGCTACCTTGGAAAGGGTGCAACGTAAGGCTACAAGAATCAGGGTACCCGCGGTCATGGAAAACTTGGAAAAGTAATTTTTCCAGGCCCTGGATAAGTTTTGGAATTCTTGGATAGAGAGGAAAAGTTTTGGAAGAATTTTGGAAACTAGCCTTATTTATTTTTGTTTCCCGCTTCATTCCGCAACGCGCTAATGGAAATGTACAAGTGGAAGTCAATAGTTAACTACCTTATACAAGTACTGTCCTACTTTAGGTTTACAAACTTGTGGGTTTTGGAAATTTTTCTTATGGTACTGGAAAAGTTTAGGAAAAGTCATGGACATTTATTCAACCAGATTTGGGGGAACCCTGAAGAATGATTCCTGGTTTTAAAGGAATGTTTTATGAGGAGAAGTTAGCTGAGCTGAATCTGTTTAGCCTTGAGCAAAGGAGACTAAGGGGGGACATGATCCAGGTCTATAAGATTCTAACAGGCCTGGATGATGTTCTGCCAAATGGCTACTTTAATATTAGTTTAAATAATAAATATAAACTGAATTTGAGAAAACACTTCTTTACACAGCGTGTAGTTAGAGTATGGAATAGTCTTCCTGCTAGTGTAGTGCAAGCTAAAACCTTGGGTTCCTTTAAATAAGAGCTAGATAAGATTTT